ATGATTCAGATATTTTTACAAATCCCATACTAATTCTGACTGGTTCTGTGTTGAAAAACAAACGGTTGTCTATCGATACAATATTTCTCGAAAAATCATTTGCATTATAAAAGAGGCATGCCTCGCCTTGAAGGTGCTGCTCTTTGTGTTAGGTTCTGACTACGAGGGTCACCGTGAAGATGGTGATATGAGGATATGGCAGAGTTAAAACTGCACTCCAGCTGGGATGAGATGAGCAAATGAGTAAACTTCATTGCAGAAATCAAGCAATCTCTTTGATTCCTCGCTGGTAGACTAGCCGGCAGCCCACTAAGAATGTAGCCAAGACAATAAGTAATTACGGAATGAAATTAGGATATTTCATTACATTCTATAAATAGCCAAATTCATGATTTGTGAGCGCCTTTCATCAACTGGCTTACTCCGTGATCCCAGAGTTTTATTTGTTTGTAAATTTTTGGTAAATTTTCGTTTCTAGTGTGATCGCTATAGTTGAACCAAGACCAATAAGAGTGGAAATAAAATTTCTGATCCGGCTATCAAAGTAAGGTATAAAATATTAGAATTTGCACGAAATTATCAGGCCGGTACACCGCATAACACTAGTCCACTCAATCGCGACAAACTTTTTTATACTCCCATAAAATATATCTTGTTATGTGATACATTGATATTTAACACGAATTCATACATTATGTGTTATGCGGACGCCGCCTTATTGTGCAGCGTAACATCATGCTGTACTACATTACACGGTGCTGGGTAACATATCCGGCCGCTGTGTGCTTCAAAATAGCGTACCTGTAAGTTGCCTTGAGTGGCTTCGTGATTTCGGCGTTCTTCTTCCAACAGCAGTTCAAGATCCTTCACTCGCTGGGCCAGGTTCTTATTATCTTTGAGCAGATTGGCATTGGCCTTGTTGGCAATGTCGAGATTGATCTCCAGCTCATTAATGGTGGCCTCATATTTCTTCTTCAGGCGGCTGAGCTCTGACTTGTATTTGACTTCCATGTCGGTTATGGTGATTGTGAGCTCCTCGATCGTGCGGGTCGTGCTCTTCCTAAATTGGGCGAAATAAGCAAGCTTCATAATGTAGTGAATAGTAACCCATTAAATACAGATGAATGTGATTGGTTATTATGAAGCTTGCGAAATGACCGATAATTCAACCACTTCCATGTAGCCTGAACAAGTGGCTTGTGTACAGAGTTTAATGAAACTCACAAAAGTATGTATATTAAATACAACTATTTTTGCTGGGAATATGATGAGGATATCAATTTGTCGATTGTTCATGCAAAATAGAAGTGAAAGTTTGACATTTGCAAGCACTTGACCAATTACAGGCAAATAAATTATAATTATA